AAAACAAATTCTATGGGACTGAGAAATATTATTTTCTACTTTTTAGTCCATTTATAAAAGCGTTGTATATTAAAAAGTTTTTTTTATATTATTTATTTAATATTATTATGGTCACTTTGTTTTGTTTATAAATGAATATGCACATATGCATGTAGTAAAGCAGCTCAAGTAAAATAGACCAATGGGTGAAAATTGTACTATCGTTTTTTTCTGAGCTTGATTACGCGCTGATTGGAGTTATAAATTTAAGGATTTAGGAAAAGTATCTGGGTGGTATCAAATAATTTTTTCCCCACTATCCGAGGATCCGAAGAGTATTTCAGTGTTAAATTTGCATCACAACTACATTTTGGGAAAATTTCTGAAGGTAAATATTTTTATTCGATTAAAAATATTTAGTTTTTATAGCAATTATACGAAAACATGTATTTTCCCCACATAAAATTTATGGAAAACTACAAAGGCCTGGCAGCACGGTTAAATATTAACTTAATTTTCCATTTTCTATAATTCTAAAGGGTGGCAGCGAGAAAATTCCAAAAAAAATAAATTTATTGTGTATTCTTGGACCACCCTAATGCACATAAATGGCAACAATGCACTTGACTGCCTATCCTATAAAAATAAAATAAAATATTTTTAGGCTTGAATACTGCCCATGCGATTTAGGTTAGGATATTATATTGGCTGTTCAGGAAGTGGTAAGAGACTCAGTAAGGTTCAATAAATAGTAACCGCGTTTATTGGAATCATCGGGGCACTGGAAATTAACATGATGATAAAGGTAATCAGGGGCACAGTGTATCCAAAAATTAGTCAAAGAATACCTCACTTTTCTTTCTGTCACATCTGACAATTTCGCTTATTTCAGTTTAAAAGTTAATCCTTTTTGTGTTATCTTTCGTTTACTTTTAAAATTAAATTTTATCAAAATTTGTATAGTGACCCAAAGGCCGTCGTGGACAGGAGTAGTTTTTTTTTTAATTTTATGAAAATCAACCAGGGTAAATGGTAATCTAACCGACCGCAGTCGACAAAATTCGCCGGAGCCAAAGTAGACTTCCGCGCAACTTTTGTAATTTTTTCATAAAATAATGACCACAGTATTTTTGCGGAAAGGTGTTCTTTGCAAAAACACTGTGGTCAGCGTAGCTGGAATTGGACTTACAGGGGCTATATTTTGGTGAAAAAATTACATCGACGTCGACGTCGAAGACCATAAGAAGGCCGAAGATAGATATGAAGTCCAAGCGAATGATTGAGTGAGATTATTCTTTGTGTTTTCAAAATGTGCTGGGTGCTTGTGATCTATGGGATATTTATGTATGTAACACAAGTTGTTTTTGCATGCATATGAGTGAGTCTCTTTTATTGTAAACGTTCATAATAGCTTGTTTGGCAATGATGCAATACGGATATTCCCATAAAATAAGAAAGCCACGAGAAACTCGAAAACTTGAAAATGGGACAATTTATAAGAAATATAGGCCCCGATGCCGAGCTTTCACACATTTTAATACGAACGCTCAATGATCTAATTTTTACTCATATGAATGCAAATGCACAACACGCATGGATGAATGTATGAATGTACATATGTATGTTTTAATGTGCGAAACACAAAAATAATTTATTTGTTTTTTATCTGTACAATGCTGCAACAAAATAGTTACAAACAGAAATGTACATAGTATGTATGTATGTATGTAAGTATGATTGTATGTATATACCCGTAAACCAGACGTTGACAACAACAAGAAGACAACACAATAAACCACAAACAACAAAGGAAAAATTAGCGGTTAAAGTAAAGACAGCGAATTTTTTCTTACCAAATCTTCTTTTCTTTTTAGATTTTCTGAGTGTGTTTGTTAAATTGGGATCGGTATCTGGTATCAGAAAATTTCGTTTTTATAATTTTTTTAAATATATATATATTTTTTTTCAATTTTGTCGACATTTGCATTTGGGGAATGGAGAAGTAGTGTTTGGACAGTGGACATATCGCCGATAAATAAGAAGTCAGGTCAATTCAAGTAAATAGGAAGAAAGAAGAAAGAAAATGATTGCAATTCGTTAGTATTTGAGACCATTTTCAGTTATAATTGCATGTGAATATTATTGAGATGTAGGAAAAATTTTTAGTTTGAAGATAACAATTGCGAAACAGTCAAGTGGCTGGACGACTCATGAAATTTCAAAAATTTTGCCACTGCATATTTTCGCGTAAAATAGATACGTATGAATTTGCGGTGAGACTTACCGACTGTAGTATAGCGTACAAATGTTTCCTTGTTCTCCAACATGGCGTCCACCGCAAGTTTTTCACAGTACTGTGCCGTTATAATAGCAATTGTGGGTTGCTTATTCGAAGCGATTGTGGGCATTTGTTTCACGACCTTCCAGGGAATAAATAAACAAATATTTGAATGTGAATGCTTGCATATGGACGGAGTAAAAGTTTTATTTTGAGATAAATATATCGAGAGTAATATACATACATATAACAGTAATTTAAAGTGAAGAGTGTTTGTTTAATAAGTGCTTCGATATGTGGATATATCGATAACTACTTCGATGTACATATACTATTGATAAAGTTATGGAAAAAATATCGATAAAGTAAGCGATCAATATAGATAGAGTTATCTAAAATATCGATAAAGTTAACTAAACTATCAATAAACTTATCGAAAAAATGTCGATAATAGCTTCAACCCCAGGGTTGGGCACGCTGGACTAAATTTTTAATGCACTGAGCATTTGATTACCACTATTCTTGTAGGGAATGGCTTAGGTGTTTATAGCACCAATCAATGAAAATAAGTTTATTGAAGCTCTCTCTATGGGTCGAGCGACTTGCAGGGTTCGAAGAAAGCAAAGCGCGATCATTTCTATCTATATGTATCTAGCAGCTCTCACATTGAGACCGTAGTGCGTGATAAGGCATCGCATGTGTTGCGGGGTGGGCTTGTTTTCTCCAAACACTAAGGCTCTAGATGAGCGGCCTGCCGAATTTAATATCTTCCCTAGTCAAGGGTGTCTTGAATTTTTCATGGCTGTTGAATGGTTTATAGTCAGGAAGCTTTCTGACGAAGCCTACTGGATATTTTCCGGCTGTCAAGAATAATAGTGGCGCAATGGCAATATGGTCTCTTCCGTGGCTGACTCTTGCATTCTCTTCATTAATTACCTGGTCGCTGAAAGGCTCCGGCTCAGTACGTGGCCAAGAAAAAATGAAATAATCAACACATTTTCCATTCTCAATCATTGCTCGGTGCTAAAACTCCGTCGACCAAATATCAAAATCAGAATACCGTCGAGTACCATAAAGGAAACTCCCACTCTGTACGTCCAGTATCCTTGGACAAGCCCCCCGTCAGACCCAACGCCGGTTTGAGCATACCTTCGAGTGACTGAAGGCAACCCAGGTATGGAGCCAAGACAGATCTGTAAGAGTAGTAAATCTGGAAGTTCCGGCTTTCACGTCCAGGACTCTCGTACGAACAAATTCTTTGGAGGTGGTTCGGTAACGGCTCCTAAAGTATAGATATCTCGTACAGCCAAGCCAAGGCATACCTTCGGAAAGCTGCAAATGAAAGGGGGGCAAGATACAATTCAGGAGCCCCAAACAAGCGTTTTCCTAGGACAGACACCTACCCTCAAGAATGCAACGATCAGCGAATCAAATTTAATGGGTATAGATCCCGCAAACTCTTTGGACTACCTAACTTTTCACGGGCTATCAGCGCCTTTAGTAAAGTCTCAATAAATTTGTATACATTTTGATTCTTGTTGCGTTCCGGTTTCGTGCTTGATTCAGAAAATATACCAAAAACTCAATTAACTTATGATTCTCACT